ACCAGATCTCATAACCGATGGTTGTGAGCCACCATGTGGGTGCTGGGAATTGAACTCAAGACCTCTGGAAGAGCAGTCAGCCCTCTTAACCTCTGAGCCATCTCTCCAGCCCCGAAAGGGACTTTTTTTTTTTTTTTTAAAGGTCTCACCTGGCAGCCCTGGCTGTCCTGGAACTAGCTGTATAGACAGGCTGGCCTCATACTCACAGAGATCCACCTGCCTCTGCTTCCTGGGTGCTGGAAATAAAATAAAAGTATGTGCCACCACACAACCTGGCCCGGCATATACTTTTTATATTTAAAAATTTTATGCTACTCTTGTGTGTGTGTCATGTGGAGGTCAGAGGGCAACTCTGGGAGCCAGTGCTCTTCTCTCTCTTTTATGTGTTCTAGAGGGTATGTAGTGGCATCTTGTTCTGTCAATAGATTTGAGGTAATGGCCTTAGGGTGTGGCTTCGGTGTGCAGACAAGACCTTTATAAGGAAGAGGAGGGTTCTGCTTGGGCTCTCTCTTGGGTTGTGGCCTCGGCATCCTTGATTTCAGACCCTGTGCCTCCAGGTACTAACAGAACAAGATGCCACTACAGGGGCAGAGCTCAGGTTGCCAGGCTTGTGTGGCAAGTACCTTTAGCCATTATACCATTTCCACAGCCATTTTAATATTCAGAGAGACCTCTGGTTGCCTTCCAAAGGCTGTATCACCTTGTACCTCACATACTGCCCTTGTGATCAGTCTTTTCCACAGATGCCAACATGGTTGCTAATATTCCCGAGGTTCTTAACTTCACTCGGGAATTTCAGGTGTGGGAAAGATCAAAAGGAGTAGGAGGAACGGGAGATTGGCAGAGATTTGGAAAAGACACCTGTGAGTGTCACTGGCCCAGGTGTTGGAGATAAGATGAATCAGGGAAATGCTGTCAGGTAGGAAGGTACAAGCAGGATAGCTACCAAGAAGAGGTGAAAACAAAGGACTTCTAAAGACAGGTCTGTTGTTACAGCCCCAAGTAGCCAGGATTCAGAATCAGATCTCCTCATTGCAATGCCAGGGAAGACCACCGACATGTCCAGTTTTGGATCCTCCCAGTGGGCCTGGTATCTTTTCATCACAGGGCCTATGTACAGGCATTTACACACCTGACATGGTGAGTTTGAAGTCATTTTAAAATCTGAAGGAAGAGATCTAAGAATGTATCTTAGGTTTCTATTTCTGTGATAAAACTCCACCACCAAAGGCAAACTGGGGAGGAATGAGTTGATTTCAGTTTACAGTTTATCGTCCATCATGAAGGGAAGTTAGGACAGGACTCAAGGCGGGGACCTGGAGGCAGGAACCAAAGCAGAGAGCATGGAGGGAAGCTGCTTATTAGCTTGTTTCTCACAGTTCACTCAGCTGGCTTTTATAAATGGCTCAGGACCACCTGCTGTGGAGTGGCGGTGTCCCTCCTCCCAGAGGGCGGGGCTTACCCACATCAATCATCAATCAAGAAAATGCCCCACAGATTTGCCCACAGGCTAGCCAGATGGAGGCATTTTCTCAGTTGAAGTCCCTCTTCCTCTCTAGCTTGTGTCAAGATGACAAGAAATCTAACCAGAACACATGTTGCCCTTGTTTTCCTCATTCCTTTTATAAATGTAAAGTTGCTTTGTCAACAATGTGGAATTTTATTCCCTCATACAATAATCACACGTGATAATTAAGTTTATAATGGGGCTGCTTCCTAGGAGGGTAACAATTCCTAATTAAACTTATTTGTTTGTTTGCAGTGCTAGGGATCCGCCCCACAACATGCTCTCATGGGTGAGCTGCATTCCCAGCCCTGAACTTATTTAAATGCTGTAATTTTTTTGATTAAAGCTGCTGATCTCAGCTACTTCATACATGAATCTAAAGTCTAACCCTGGGTCAGGTGTGAGGGGGAAGGCAGAAGGTGTTGGGGTAGGAAAGACTTTACTTTTGGAAAAAACTGCCATAGGAAAAAAAAATGAGAGAATTTGCTCCCTTCCTGAATTCACTGAGTATAACCCATTGTAACGTGGAGTCATGCCTGAGGTGATTCTTCTGGAAATAAATTGGATTTTATCTGATTACCAATAAGTTACTTGTGAAAATAGACCCATCCATCCATCCATCCATCCATCCAGCCATGTACCCATCATCCATCCAGCTACACACCTACATACCCATCCATTACCAGTAATACTGAATGATTATGGAATGTTTACTGTGTGCCAGATATTGTTCAACTGTCTTTTATATATTAGCTAAAATCATTCTGCCAATTGCTTCTGTCATCTCTTCTTCAAAATGGAATCTGAGGGGGCACCTAATAGTTCAAACCTAGAATTACCATGACTCAGCATGTAAGTTATATGTACCAAACAACTAAAGACAGGCGTTCAAACTAAACCTTGTACAGGGATGTTCCTGAAAGCTTAGTCACCACAGGTACAAGGTGAAAACATCTTAATATCTATCAACAGATGTGTGGATACGCAAAACATGGGGTACCTATATACTACAATATATTCATCCACATAAGAAAGAAAACTGTAGTTCATGCAACAACATAGATGACTCTTGAAAGCACGTTAAGTGAGAGAAGCCAGGAAGTAAACACAGGACAGGTTTCCTGAACTTTCCAGACATTACCAGTTCACAGAAAGCAGATTAGTGGTTACAAGAAACTAGGGTGAGACTACAAGGGGGCAGCTACTGCTTAATGGGATGGGCTTTTTGTGGAGGGGGATGAAAACCTTTTGGAACCAGATGATGCTAATATTTGCATAACATTGTAAGTGTGCTCGATATCACCAAACTTCTTTAAATGGTTAAAATAGTTTCATAAATCTTTACTGTCCCTAAAAGTTTTTTTTTTTTTTTTTTTTTTTTTGTAATTTTTTGTAATTCATGGGCAGAGAGGGTCAAGTGTCTCCTTTACTCTTGGTTTCAGGGATTGATTTCAGGTCCTCAGGCTTGACACTGAGCCACCCTACCAGCCCAAGGTTCTTGTAGTTTACCATAGTTTTAAAAAAGTAACTCCTGGGTGGGGGCTGGAGAGATAGCTCAGAGGTTTAGAGCATAGGCTGCTCTTCCAGAGGTCCTGAGTTCAACCCCCAGCATTTACATGGTGGCTCAAACCATCTGTAATGAGATCTTGTGCCCTTTTCTGGCCTGCAGGCATATAAGCAGGCAGAACACTGTATACATAAAGAAAAAAAAAAAAGGAACTTGGGGCTCAATGTATATGGTTTTCTTGAGGTACCCTTGCAGTTGGTATGGGGACGAATTCAGCTTTCCTATTGTGGAGATGGACTCTGGCTGTGTTGCCCAAACTGGTGTCACACCCCTGGGCTCAAGTGCTCTTCCTACCTCAGCCTGCAGAGTGTTATAGCTACAGGCCATGTTGTCACTGAGCTTTTGTTTTTTGACTTTGGTTTTGAGACTGGTCTCATGTATCTCAGGGTGACCTCCAATCTGCTATATAGCAGAGAATGAACTTGAACTTCTGATCCTCTGACTGCTACCATCCAAGTGTTTATGTGGTGCTGGGGATCAAACCAGAGCTTTGTACTTGCTAGGCAAGCACTCTACCAGTTGAGGCACACCCTTAGTCTGGCTCCATGGATATGCTTTTTATATTTTAAAATTATTATTTATCTACTTTATTTACTTATCTCTTATAGCCCAGGCTTTCTTTTTTTTTTTTTTTTTTTTTTTTTTTTGGTTCTTTGAGACAGGATTTCACTGTGTAGCCCTGGCTGTCTTGGAATACCTTTGTAGACGAGGCTGGTCTCAAACTCAGAGATTTGCCTGCCCTGCCTCCCAAACACTGGGATTAAAGTGTGCACTACCACATCCAACTATTGTAAATTACACTTAAAAATTATTTTCTGTGTGTTGTATGGAAATCAAGAGATATCTTTTAGGAGTTAGTTCTCTACTTCCACAATGTGGGTCTGGAGGATCAAATGTAGGCCATCCAGCTTGGCAGCAGACCCCTTTACCTAACTGAGTTATCTCATTGACCCATGGCTTTTTATTGTTGCTGTTTTGCTTTTATAAAGAAACGAACACACAGAGTTTACTACATGCCTAAGGTCTATACGCATTAGATTCCCTGTTTTAAATTTTTTTTGTTTTGTTTTCGAGACTGGGTTTCTCTGTGGCTTTGGAGGCTGTCCTGGAACTAGCTCTTGTAGACCAGGCTGGTCTTGAACTCACAGAGATCTGCCTGTCTCTGCCTCCTGAGTGCTGGGATTAAAGGCGTGTGCCACCAACGCCTGGCCCCCCATTTCAAATTTTTAAAATTACTTTTATTTACTGTGTAGGTGTGTACCACAATGAACATGTAAAAGTCACAGGACAATTTGCAGGATTTGGTTCTGTTCTAGTACAAGGCATTGTAGATCCCAGAGATCAACCTTCAGGTTGCTAGGTTTGGTAGCAAGTGCCTTTACCTACAGGCTGTCTCTCTCTCTCTCTCTCTCTCTCTCTCTCTCTCTCT